CAGGGGCCAGGGCTGTGCTGAGCCTCAGGACATTATGCTGAAGGAAGTAGCCGGACAGATTGCACACACGAGGTCCCGAGGATAGGCGACTTCACGGAGACAGAGAGTACCAGGCAGGTTGCCGGGGCCGGGGTGAGGGGAAAACTGACGGAGTTCAGTGGGTGCCGTGTTCTGTTTGGGATGGTGGGAGGTTCTGGAATGGTCAGTGGCGATGGCTGCACCGTGTTGTAAACGTACATGATGCCAGTGACATACATTTTATGTTACATACATATTTCTCCTAAAGCAAATGAAAAAGAGAAAGGGATGAGCCGCTGGAGGAAGCAGGCTGCGGGAAGGGGCGCTCGGGGCCTCGGAGGGACCGCGGGAGGGAGTCCGGGGAAGGGGGCGGCCGTGGCGGCGAGGTCCCGGAGCGACAGGGCGTGGTGATGCCCTGCAGGACTGTGCACGGCATTTTGAGGAGATGCCCACCCGGTGGCCTCGGCTTTCTCAGTGCGGTTGCCCTTCTTAGGGCCCGGGGTGGGGGGACGGTTGGGGAGGGACGTGAAGCTTCAGCAGTGTCCCTGCACTGAACCCAGCGACGCTGAGGGGAAGTGGCTGACCATAGGCTCCGTGAGGCCACCAGACATGAGCCAGTCCCAAAGTCGCGGTTTCCGCGCGGAGCCACGCCCAGCAGTACCCACGAGTTCTGACGAGAAAGCAGACGTCCAGGTGGCTGGACTGATCCAGCCTCGGTGATGAGAGGTTTGGGGAGAGGAGAGAGGAGCTAGGGAAACGCTGGGTAGATTTTATTGAGAAGCGTTTCGGGAAATGAGAGGAAGGTTGGGGGGATCGAGGGGCGTAGAAACTCCCTGGTGAGGTCCCATGGTGATGGCTCCAGGCTCATCTCACTGACGGTGCTGGGACCCGGGGGTCAGATTTCAGAAGACTGGGCCCTCGGAAGCGTTTCCAAGGAAGAAAAGCACAAATGCGGGTCTAGTAGTTGGCGGCGACCACTGCGCTGCCCTCTGGCCCCGGTCTCTCCCCGTCCCGTCTCCCTCCCTCCTTTCCCAAGAGGCGTTTGACGACTACTTTGATCATATTGAAGGAACTGTGGTTTTTCCCCAAGTGTACACTGATTTCAGATAACCACCTTAAAATTGTTGTACAGGTTCTGGCTGATAGACTGTCGACAAATCCAGGAATCCGTGACCTTTGCCTCACAAGTGTACAGAGAAATCATCTGTGTGCCCTACATGGCCAAGTTCGTGGTGTTTGCCAAGTCCCACGACCCCATTGAAGCCAGGTTGAGGTGCTTCTGCATGACTGACGACAGGGTGGACAAGACCCTTGAGCAGCAGGAGAACTTTGCGGAGGTGGCCAGGAGCCGGGATGTGGAGGTGCGTTTTCAAAACCAACGTGTGGATACGTAGTTTATACCTTTGTTAATACATCATATGCAAAATTGTATTTAATAAGTAGAGCCCTAAATAAAAAAGACCAATCCACATCCTGACCAGTTTGAAGGCCAAAGCCCCAGATCAGCTCTTTCTGGCGGCTTGGACCTGTCCCATGGGACGATCTCAGCATCCACGAGCAGGAAACAGGCCTCTCTGAAAGATCACAGGGGAAGTTCAGACTTACTGATGAAGTGCGAAAGCGATGGTAACAGCTTAGGTGGTTTTATCTCTCCTCTTACTAACTTTTAGTAGTAAAGCCAAAAGTCAGGAAGTACGTCCTTAGCATAAGCGTGGACATGTGCTGTGTGGGCTTTTCTGCATTAATTCTTTGTATTTCAGAGCTTCTCATCAGTGTGGATTTGGATAGCGAGGTCGAGTAACCTGACTCATTGGGATGCAAAAATTGCCCAATCGAAACTTAAGTTTGGGGGTGATGTGATACAGTGTTAGAAACAAGGACATCGCCATTAGATGCCACCATGCACCTGAAGGCCCCATAGGAGTAGAAGGGGGTGGTTCAAGGAGGAGACGTGCCTTCCTACAGGGGAGACAAATTACAGATTGCCGTTTGCAGGTTTTAACGTTCCGAGTAGCACCACCGCTCCCGTGTCAATAACAAGAAATAATTGCAGCTACTGGAGTCCTGTTACTTTTCTCTGCTCCACCAGGTGCTGGAGGGAAAGCCCATCTACGTCGACTGTTTCGGCAACCTCGTGCCACTAACCAAGAGCGGCCAACATCATATATTCAGTTTTTTTGCCTTTAAAGAAAACAGACTTCCTCTCTTTGTCAAGGTAACATCTACATGGAGTTTTAAACACATTTTATTCAAGATCAAGTAAGGATTTGGCTTCCTTTGGGAGAGAATGTTTCCTTTTCAGTCATTTCCAGTGATTATTTAAACCATGTCTATAAAATTGTAAAGTTCTGGAAAACCAACTACTTTCATTTTTGAAGCTCAAATTCAGCTTTAAGACTGTGTTTAAGGACAAATAGCCAATTCATTAATTAGAAAAGCTGGCTTTTCTTTTTCAAATTTTAAAGGAAGTCTCTCTCTTTCTAAAGTAATATTTCTTTTAAATATTTGTGCTTACATTCTTTAAAATGTGTGAACTTCACAAATGAGACCAAAAGAGTTCTAAGTGACAATTTGGGGTAACAAAAGCTCACAAAAGGCCTAGGATCCCACTCAATTTAATTAGAGCTTATCCCAGACAGAGCTGTAGACTGGACATACTTTCACAGATTCATTCAACATTTATGGATCCCCTTCTGTGCACTGTGAGTTTGTCGTCTCTGACTCAGAGCATTCATCCAGGATTGGAGTTTGGCTGTGATAAATACAGGTCTCCTTCTGGATTCCAAGCCTAAGGGGGGACAAAAATGTGTAAACGAGAAGTTCATGAAATAGAAAGGACGTTACAATTCCTCCTGTCCTGTTCTGTTTCTCCGGCCATTCATTGACTGTCTCACAAGGCCTTTCACTTCTCTGGAGGTCCCGATGCCCCTCCTCACAGGGCAGGGACTGGGTTCCCTCAGCTTTTCACTAGTCCAACCTCAGACTACTGATTCCCAAGCAATTGGTCATTGGTGATCCTTTTACTACCTGAAAACCTCATGGTTTCTCCAAGCATGAGTCCGTCAACCTGTTTAGTTTCCGAGGCCTATTCAGTTTTCCCAAGCTCTCTGCCGAGTCTCTCGTTGTGCCATTCCTGTTGGGTTGTTGCCTGATTAAAGCTAGGTTCTAACAGATCATCGCATGAAGCCTGCTGCTGAGGGGTGTCGGCGCCATTCAACGTGAACAGCTGTCCAATTAAACTAACGTTTGATATTGTTGATGTGCAAAAGTCATTTATAAACAACCCAACACAAAAATGGGCAAAGGACTTGAATAGACATTTCTCCAAAAAAGGTGTACAGATGGCCAGTAAGCCCATGAAAAGATGCTCAACAGCTTAGGAAAAGTCAAATTCAAACCACAGTGAGGCAGTGCTCTCTACCCATTAGAGTAGCTATTATAGAAAAAACAAGTCAGAATCTAGCCAGTGTTGGTGAGATGTGGAGACGCCGGGACCCTGATGCATTGCTGGTGGGAAGATCGCAAGGCGCAGCCCCTGTGGAAACAGTGCAGTGAGTCCTCAAAAAGTGAGACATAGAACGACCACAGGACAGTTATTGTACTTCTAGGCAGATGCCCAAAAGAACTGAAAGCAGGGCCTCAGCCACGTTCACGCCAGTGTTCGTAAAGGCATCACTCACCAAAGTGTGGAAACATCTCAGGTATCCATTTACAGATGAATGAACAAACCAGATGTGGCCTGTCCATGCAGTGGAGTGTTATTCAGCCTTAAAAAGCAGTGAAATTCTGACACACGCTACCACATGGGTGGACCTTGAAGACATAGGCTCAGTGAAAATAACCAGTCACAAAGGGACAGTCCTGTCCATCTAGCCAAGGCCCCAGGAAGAGGCAAATGTAGAGATGAGGTAGAATCGAGCCTGGGGGCAGGCGGAGGAGATGGGCGGTTCCAGGTGGTGGGTGCGGAGCTTCTGTTGGGATAATGACAAGTCCTGCATAGCAGTGATGATCACACAGCCCACTGAGTGTGCTCAGTGCCACAGAATTGCACACTTAAAAGGGGTACGTGTGAAAATGGAGAAGGTGAATTTTGTTATGCATATTTTACCACAATTTTTTTAAAAAGCTGAATGATAAAAAAAAAGTCATTTTAAATGATACTAGAACCAGAAGAAAGGAACAGCCTGGCACCCTTAGCGCACTCAGAGGGGTTGTGCTTTCCCCGATTTTCTGGGGCATCGCCTGCTTAAAGAAGCCGTGCGCCCCGTGTGGGTGACTCACGTGCCTTTCTCGAATTCAAGGTCCGAGACACGACTCAGGAACCGTGCGGACGACTATCATTTATGAAGGAGCCGAAATCCACACGAGGCCTGGTGCACCAAGCTATTTGCAACTTAAACATCACCCTGCCCGTCTACATAAAGGTATTGCCAAGCCTGCTGCCGTGCATTCAGGAAGTGTGGGGCTTGGCTTCAGGCTCTTGGTCACATAAAAGATAGTCATTTTGGATTTCCTGTCAAATTTGTGATTTTCCATTGAAGTGAGGAAAAAAGTGGCTCTACCTCATTTCACATCAAATTCATTTTGATGGAAGAATTTCTATAAATACATATTGGATATGGAAGACAGAAAACTTGAATTTAAGGTTTAACATTTTGGACTAATTTTTAAAAGCAAATAACTGACTTTGTCTTCATTATTGCTTTTATGCGGCCTTCTGGGACCATGCTGGGGCCTCTGGTACCCAAACATTTTGGGCCATTAGGTTCTGTTCTCCACCAGCTCATAGGTGGGATCTAAATATTACATTCAGAGCAAACCTCACTGTTTCCTCTTGTTGCTAAAATAATTACCTGTTCATTTTATAACCTGTCATATTTTAGAAGTAGGAAATTAATTTTTTCAACTATTTTAATATGATTAGTACAAAATAATCCTATATTTCAAGGAGCAGATTTGAAACATTGTTGAAATGTCCAACTACAGGTCCAACCACAGGTATTACTTTCTATGCAGACCCCTCCCCACTGCAGAATTACTCTGTAATTACTCTTGATTATATAGCAGTATTTTTCGTTACTCCATCAAACCAAAGAAGACAACTGAATGAATCATATGTTGGGGGTAACTTTGTTTATTTAAAAATATTTTTAACCAGTGTCCCTTCCTAGTGGGAAGCGCCCACCCAGCGCTGCGCAGGAGGTGTGGCCACCTGTCTGTGTGCCTGGGTTGGGGACAGGGCGCATAGTGGCAGGTGAGACCTGGCGGAGGGGAAATACATTTAAAGTCCTAAACCTGGCTCTGCGAAACACAGCACTTCCTGTACTGCTTTTTACCCACCAGTCTGCTTTTCTGAGTGAGTTATTCTTGTACATAGAGATCGGTCACATAGAGAAAAGCTCACGTCATATTTAACATCGTAAATTCTTATTTGATAAAAATAAATTTTATCTCTCCATAAAAGTAATAAGCTCTGATTTCAGTGAGCTTTCAATGTGCTGTAAAGAAAGCGTTTATTTATTCTGATACTTCTATTGATTTTTAGAGAGAGAAAGGAGAGGGGGAGAGAGAAACATCACTGTGACCGGCCGCCTCCTGCACACCCCCTCCTGGGGATCCAGCCCACAGCCTGGGCATGGGCCCCGGTGGGGAATGGCACCCACCCCCTTTCGGTGCCTGTGCCTGGACGATGCCCACCCGCTGAGCCACACCTGCCAGGGCGAGTTTATTTTTACGTTTTACAGATCAGACACAGTGACTGATGCGGTCATGGTCCAGGAAGGCTTTCCATTTAGTAATAACTCACTCAAAACAAAAAGAAAGAAGTGCCAACCTTGTGTGCTTCAGCTGTGCCCGCGGGGTAGTGGCTCTCCGTGGCAGTGGAGCTCTGTATGGTGCCGTGCACCCCACGACGTGGCCACACGCGTATTTGTGGCTCTCCCTCTTTCCAGCCAGTATCACCACTCCCGCAGACGCCTGCCATCTAATCCACCAAGTGTCCGACCGTGAGGCTGCTATATTTGTAATTTTGGTTCTCTTGTCTCTTGAGTCTCCAGGCTTTTGCGTTTAAATCGGTCCTTTTTGATTTTTGTGCCTGTCTGGGGAACTGAGTGGGAACAAGAGCCCCGACTGAGCGCTGCCCGTGGGTGTTGGTGGGGGGTCTTGACCTGTCTCCTAAACTCTGCTCTCCCTGCTCTCTCCCCTCCCACGCGGCGTCGGGGCGGCAAGGATTCAGAGTCAGATCAGGAGCAGGAGGAAGAGGTAATTGTGTGACCTTGTCGCTTGTAACTGGTTAGAGCACCCGCATCCCGTGTTCTCAGGGGCTGTGCGTGTGGGAACAGTCGCTCCTGCCTGTGACTTGTTACCCTGTCTCTGCAGTAATGCTTATTTCTCTACCAACTGCTGGAGGCCCAACCGTTACCTCTGTGGTTCTCAAAGGCTGGTCGGCAGATGCCTGGCGGTGAAAACTCTTCCGTGACAGAGCTGAGCCCTTATTTGCCTTTTCACCGGCATGTCCTCAGCCGAGGTTTCCGAGGCTGTGTCACCTGGGAGGCCACGCACTCGGCACCCTGGAATGTGTGCCTGTGTGTACTTGGGTTCCACTTTTTCTCAGCTTGATTTTTTAATAAATATTCATTTACGTGTGTCAAACATAAACAAAAGTTCCTCAGGCTCCTCAGTAATTTTTAGGAGTTAAAGGGGTCTTAAGACCAGAAAGTTTGAGAACCACTGAGACCGAAACTAGGGAGCATGTAGTTAATGTAGTTCATCCATCGGACGATAACGTCAGATGCAGAGCGAGTGTGAGCCCTGTGTGGGGCTGTGTCCCGGTCACGGGTGAAGGAAGCTGTCTAGGGAGGGTACCTGGAATAAGTAGCCATTTCATTATCCCTGCTTCTGTAGTTCAAGTTGGTATAAGTTTGTTTCCCTTGGCGAAATCTGAAAATGCCCAAACATTGTCATAGGAATGAAAGAAATCATTGGGAAATCTTTATGTTTACCAAGTAACACATTGGTCCTGTTTCTAAGATAGACAAATGCAGTTATTGGTTGCATATAAATGTTTTCAAATATACTAGTTTTATTTTTAATGTTATTCTGATGGATTTGAAATGCAAAAATATAAAGAAAAGTGTAACAAATGCCCGTGTACCCGCCCGCTTAACATGCAAGGCCTGCGGTCCAGAGCAGCCCCGGACTCGCCCTTTTCACTGAGCAGGACAAGAGGGAGGTACAGACTGGTCCTGCCGTGTCACCAGTCTCTGTCCCCCACTCCGCGTCCTTCCTGCACCTGGTGACTCGCTCACCAAGGCTGGGCGGAAGGAGACCTCCGCACCTCCCAGCGCAGGAGCGCCGCTGTGGTGCCAGCTTAGCTTCGTTCAGACGATCCTTCCCTGAGCGTCACGGTTTTCGATTGACTAGTTTCAGGAGCTGTTCAGGATGACCGGTGAAGTTTGCCTTCTCTTCAGGAAGGCGCTTCTGGCTTCTCAGAATGACAGTGGCGTCGTGTCTGTGGGCCGCACGCCCTGCGTGCTGTTTGCTCTCAGCTAAGCTGCCACCACGGCCTGCCCCCCGCTGGCCTTTCCGCTAACGAGCACGCGCCTCTGACATCGAGCGCCCGGGGCCACCCCTGCCCCGGAATAACATGTTAGAGAGGGCTTCTCACCCGTGTGTCTGGATGGAGAATAGTTTTTCCAAGTTTGGGTAAGAATGAAGGAAACTGTGAGGAAGAGGTGTCGCCACGGCCGCGGCCACCAGCACGTGGTGTCCCCATGCGTGTGGTCATGACCCAGCTCGGGGGGGCGGGGAGGCAGGACGCTGTTGTAACCATTCAATTTGTGTATGTTTTCTTTCAGATCGATATGACATCAGAAAAAAGTAAGATTTTAAGTAGAACGAACCGTGTGAAAGCTGGCTGCAGTAAGGACAAGCATGGGTTAAGCTGCGAGCGGTTGCCATCACTAACCCTGTGACAGTTACATTTTATATTCAGAGTGATCGTATTTAGAAAAGCAGCTTTGCCAGTTAAATTACGACGCATCTAACTTCTGACTAGCTGGTGGCAAAGCGCAATGAGGCTTGTCTCATTCTTTCCCCCCGCATCCCTCTCTCCCCGCATCCCTCTCTCCCCGCATCCCTGGGAACCCGCTGCTCCGCTTCTCGGAAGCCCACTGACCGTTTCTGTCCGTCCGTTGGCGTAGCCTCGTCATCTCGTGTTCACGCACTGACACGGCAGCGTCGCGCTCGCATCGGCCGCACCGCCTTCGGCTCGGAGCCCGCTGTCCCCGTGGCGGCCCCTGCGGGAGCGATGCCGTCGTCAGTCCCCGGCGTGAGCCGCCCCCCACGCCCTGCTGTGGTGAGGTCACCGGTGTCTGTGGGCCCCGGGCTGCCAGACTCTCATGAAAACTTTCCGGGGAAAAAAAGAGCCATGAATTAAAAAATTAAAGCCTCCCGGATGAAATCACTAACCACAGCAGCCTGCTGTTATGGAGCTAACCCTAAATAATGACGCAGATCCCCAGAGTAATTTAGCACCGAGGGAGGTGGGTGTCGGACCTTAGCAAGCTCTCGGAACTCCCCGGAGGCTGTCGTGCCCCATCCACACCGTACGTCCCTGGGTTTCTGGTGATTCTGGCTTCTTGTACGGAAGGAAGAACTTGAATTTTTTAGGGTTTACTTATTTATTTATTGCTCTTGCCCCAAATATTCAGGAAAAGAATTTAATTTTTAATGTTTATTCATTTTAAGATTTATTTTTATTAACTGTATTTATTTTTAATATGTTACTGACTTTAGAGACAGAGGAAGGGAGAGGGGGAGAGAGAGATAAATGACAAGAGTCATTGACCGGCTGCCTCCTGCACACCCGCTACTGGGGACTGAGCCTGAACCCAGGAATTGAACCGGACCAGGAATGGAACCAGTGACTTCTTGGTGCACGGATGGGTGCTCAGCCACTGAGCCACACCAGCTGGGCGACTGTATTTATTTTGATTAACTGTTATTATGGTCATCCAGCCCCGTACAATGATCTGAGAGCTTTTAAAAAATTATTTTAGCACAGTATAATTTACTGCTATGTTACAGAAATGCTTTTAATTGAGTCTCCTTACCCTCCTTATAAATCATTACTCAGAACTAGACCATTTGAAATTCTGGATGTTTTCATTTTATTTTTATATTTGAACAAATCTGTGTCGATATAAATTATTTTAATACCTTTTTATAAATGCATATTCACAGAGGATATCTCCTCAGCAAATACCCATTCTTTCAAGAGAAGGCATTTTTGTTTGTTAGAAAGATGACATGCCGTCCTTTTTGAAAGAGATTTTTTTTGTTCTCCCACTTTCTCGCTCAGAACCACTGTGTTTGTTTAAATGATTGGTTTCTTTGTTCTTTGGATACAAACTCAGGGGTTAAGTCAATCCAAGGATCTGGCTCAATCGTGGTCGAGGAAACCTACCGTGTTGCTATCAGGCCTGGACCCTCCTGGGCCCTCCTAGGTGTTGTAAATGTTTTAGATTTTTAGATATAGACTCATGTTTGGTTTTCTTTTTGTCTAAAGACAATTATTAAATAATGTCCATCTGGATATAAAATCATGTCCAGACAATGCTTTGTGGGGGGACCGTCCTGCTCCTTCACGAGCCGGTCCCAAGCTGCAGCTGCGTCCTGGGTTGGCGGAGCGGCCCCCCGGCCATGCCCTGAGCACCCCGCGCTCCACGGCCGCCGTGGGCTGTGCCCGGCCTCACCACAGCAGCGTCTGTGCCAGCGCCTGTCCGTGTCTGACACCCTCCTGCCCGCCCCTCCCGTTGACCCCACCTTCCTTTGCTTTGCATGGAAATAACTTGGCTTACCTAACCGTGCGTGTGCCGTGTGCCCGTCTCTCACGGGGGCTGCCCTGCGTCCCATTCTGACTTTGGACTCACACAGAAGTTTCCTCATCCTGGTTTGTCTGTTGCTTTCCTTTCTTTCCTTCCTCTCCCTCCCCGGCCCGCCCCGTAGTGTCTAACAAGGAGTTGCTCCGAGGAAGGGCCAGCTTCTCCGCACAGGGCGTGTGTCCCTGCTGGGTGTGCGTCTCCTTGGCTGAGCTGCCGGTTGGCAGCGGGTTCAGATGCCCTGTATTCGGTGCCGTGCGGCGGAGCGGACTGCTGGGCTCCGGACGGCTCCACCAGATCGCGCACGCACGGCGAGACCTTGTCCTGAGCCTGCTGCTGACCGGCCCTCTCCCCGAGGAAATGAGCCCTCTGCAGTTTCTAATGCCTTCTCCTTTCTCCCGCGTTTATTTTTCTTTCCACATCGACCTGTAACCTCTGAACAATCTTGAGATGCCGCGGTGCCCTCCAGCCGTGCTCGCCCCTGCTCCGGTCTGTGACGCCGTCCGTGTGCCCGCTGTCCGTTTGCTCTGTTGTGTGTGGATGTGCTGCAAGAGAGAAAATTAAGCAAGTTATTTCCTGCTCGTGTCCCTTTTCAGTTTTTTCTGTTGGCCTTGCTTTGCTTTTGTGTCCCGAGGCCTTGTGGATCCACCATCCCAGCCCGTTTGTTGTCCCTCCCACCACGACAGGAAGAGACAGTGTCATTGGGTCCTGATTACGTTTGCCAACCTCTCTTTTGATTTCCGTTTTACTTTCAATGTTTCTCATCCGCGTCAAAGACGACACAGAGTCTACAGAAACACCTGTCCTGAAAAGCCAGCTGGCCACTGACGTCCCTGTCCTGGCGAGCCCAGACCTGCTCTCGGAGGTCTCGGAGATGAAGCAGGACCTGATGAAGATGACCGCCCTCCTGACCGCGGACGCGCCTGGCAGGGCAGGGCCTCTCAGGGGGAGGGCGCCGGCCGGGGCTGCCGAGGAGGAGCCTGGGGAGCCCTTTGAGATCGTGGAGAGAGTTAAGGAGGACCTGGAGAAAGTGAATGAGATCCTGAGGGGGGGCCCCTGCTCGGAGGGCGAGGGCCGTGGGCCAGGCGCCCGGCCTGGCGGGGAGCTGGGGGACGAGGAGTGGGTGCTGCTTAGTGACGAGGACATAGCGGAAGCCAGGCAGAGGGCACCCCTGGAGGCCCCCGAGGTCCCCTGTGTAGAAGTTAGACTAGAGAGGGAGACCCCGGCACAGGGACAGAAGGACGCCACTGGGCTGGTGAACTACCTCACTGAGGATCTGAACTCCTACACGGCTGCTCCTGAAGACCCGCGACCGGTGCCCCGTGGGGCCGGGGACAGGCGCTCTGGAAGCCCAGGGAAGGACGCTCCCCGAGACGAGACGCAGAGCACTCAGAAGCAGCACGCGCCGGGCCTGGGGGTGAGGAAGCCGGTGCGAAGGAAACTGAAGGAAAAGCTGAAGCAGAAGGAGGAAGGCTCTCAGGCTGCCGCGGGCAAGACGGAACTTAAGAAGGGTAGCTCGGAAGAGTCCCTAGAAGAAGGCCCGGGCTCGGCCCCCGAGCCCCTGCCCATGGGACAGGCCACGTCCCCGTTGGTAGAAGAGACGCCCATCGGGCCCATCAGGGACAAAGTGCAGGCCCTTCAGCAGCGGGTGGAGGAGGAGCGGAAAGGGCAGAGCAAGCTGCCCGTCCGAGTCAAGGGCAAAGAGGAGGCGCCCAGGAGGGTCAGCTCCCGGCCCCCGGCGGCGGCCCCCCCGCTGAGGTCGGACAGGCGGGCACCGGCGCCCCCCTCCTCCAAAGCAGACAGACACTCCTCCCTGGCCTCGGCAAAGTCCGACAGGCATCCTCCAGCGTCACCACCGAGTAAGACCGAGAGGCACTCGCCCGTGTCTCCCTCGACGAAACCCGACAGACACTCGCCCGTGTCTCCCTCGACGAAACCCGACAGACACTCGCCCGTGTCTCCCTCGACGAAAACTGAGAGACAGTCCCCTGTGTCGTCATCTGGTAAAACTGAGAAACATTCACCTGTGTCACCTTCAAGTAAAACAGACAGACGCCCACCTGTGTCACCGTCGGGAAGGACGGAGAAACATCCCCCTGTATCACCTGGGAAGACAGACAAACGCCTGCCTGCGTCACCGGCTGCCAGAATGGAAAAGCACCCACCCGGCCTGGCCTCTGGGAAGACCGAGAGGCGCCTCTCCGTGTCCCCTTCTGGGAAAACAGAAAAGGCAGCCCCCGTGTCCCCCACCTCAAAAACAGAGCGGATCTCGGAGACCATGTCCGTGCGGGAGCTGATGAAGGCCTTTCAGTCAGGTCAGGACCCGTCCAAACACAAGGCGGGGCTCTTTGAGCACAAGGCTGCCAAACCAAAGCAGCTGCAGGAAAGGGGCAAAGTCCGGGCAGAAGCCGAAAAGGGGCAGATACCAGCCCAGAAGGAGACACAGAAAACCCAGAGTCAGGGCATCAAACGAGGCCAGAGATTCCTGGGGGCCGCGGCTGCGGAGCCCAGAGGAGGGCCCCTCGGTGCCTCGGGGCGGAGAGGAGATGCCGTGGGAGGGAAGGAGCCGGACCCCAACCACAGGACGCTGCCACCTGTGGGACCGGCCCCTGGGGAGGAGCCGGACGGGCGGGGAGATGGGAGCCTCCAGATCAGCCCCGACCGCAGGGCCTCCACCGACTTCTCGGAGGCCATCAGGCAGGAGCTGGAGGACAACGACCAGTACCAGCAGTTCCGCCACAGGGAGGCGCCGCAGCCCGAGGAGGCGCAGCTGGTCCTGGAGCAGGTGCTCACCAGCCCCTTCCGCAGGGCCTTCCCGCCGGAGCCCGGCGAGCTGCTCCCCAGCCCCCCCGCCCGCCTGGACGGCAGCTGCGAAAGCCTGCGGCAGGACGGGCTGGCAGCGTCTCCCTGCGGCAGCCTGATGGAGGGCACCCCCCAGGTCAGTTCAGAGGAGAGCTACAAGCACGAGGGCCTGGCGGAGACGCCCGAGACGAGCCC